TTTCCAAAACAGAAACTATAGTCTGGAAATGGAATGAAACAGTGAAAGCATCTAGCCTGAATCCATCATAAACATTCAGGATGTGGATTTAGTAAATACAAAGCAATTCAGAGAACGCGGCGTATGGATCAGTTATAACAAATTTAGTATAGGAGAAAAGGAAATTGGACGTAGAATAGGCTGCGCTAGATGTAGTTTCAAACAATACCACAAACTGCTACAAAACCAAAACATCAACCTGAAACCGTGAGTGATTTTCTTAAATAGCATCGTCCCATCGAGACTTTCATGTGGATGTCATGTATAAAGTCAAATCTGTTCATAAATACAGGAAGCGATGGATAAATTGTCGTCTAAATTTCACAAAAATGAAAATAACACTGACATCTCATTTTAACATATATTACTCAAAAATATCTTGAAATACTAAAGAGTAAATTTATTCAATAAAATCACCATTGGCTTCAACCACTGCGTCCAGCCGACTTTGGAATCTCCTGCAACTCTTCTGGACGGTCTCCTAGTTTAAGTTTGTGAAAGCTGCCACAATCCTTGGCATCAGTTTATCTTTGGTGTTACAAGGAGATTTGTTTGTCACCCGCTCGGCTGCGCCTCATACTTAATAATCAAGGGGGGTGCAGGGGGGGAGTTAGGTGGCCAGATGTAAGGAGTGATGTGGTCGCAGAAATTGTCTGAGAGCCATGACTGTGTCCTCCTGCTTGTACGGCACCGTGTAGAATCCTGTTGCTAGTCAATGGGTCTTCCAGCAGCCAAGGCAGCACTAACCCCTCAAGGCACTTCATGTAGGCCTGCGTGTTGAGTTTGAGGCCCTGCGGGAAGATGAATGGGGGCATAACATCGCCATCACTTGTGATCACACTAAACACGTCGACTGGATATATCATCCAACTCTTTCCGAATTCTCTACACTGTCTTCAGATTAATACCCAAACATGTTTGTATTGGTGCTTCCGGCACGAATGCCAAGGAGTACAGCATGTCGTTTACAACTTTATTGCAGATTGAATTGCATCATGGCGCTCTTTTTCTCACCGACGGTGCCCAACTGACCCTACTATGCTGTGCAAAAAATCAAAAACAAAGAACATGCATTCGCGAAATTAAAAAATATAAAATGACAACAATTTACCCATGGCGCCCTGTAACTAAATTGTCAACTGTATACAGCCACTTTTTTAAGATCAATGATTAAACAGAAACCTTGAACGGCTGAATCCTGTGGATCTTGGCGAAGACCATACTTCTTTGAAAATCGTGGAATGACGCTACACAATCCCAAATAAATACCCCGTCCCAAATGACAAAAAATCAGATCACTTAAAGACATTCAACAACAGAAACTAAAATTGATAGCAGGTGCAACTCAAAGAGATAATCTGAACTACTTCAAATAAAAAGGTTAGGCAAGAAACCCCATCAACAGTAGAAAAAGCGATAACAGCTACTGAATATGGGAAAGCGGTTTTAATAGAAAGATTTCATAATTTTTAACCGACAGTAGCCCAATCTGCTCGGCCAGCAAATAATGAATATTTCCTTATAAGGAAATGGCTAAGATTACCATCGCCATCATCTCAAACACGTCTTGTTTTTAAATATTCCTGACATTATCTCCGTTCTTTATTTAGAAAGCGAGCATTCTTAGGTGAAATGCTTCCATACTTAAAATTATCGCAACAAATCGTCCTTGGCTTTACAGAAAATGTTACTATACGAGAGTTACTGTTACGAGTGGATTGTGTGTGTGTGTGAGAGAGAGATAGAGAGAGAGAGAGAGTATGTGTGTGTGTGAGAGAGAGAGAGAGAGAGAGAGAGTGTGTGTGTGTGTGCGTGTGTGTTTGACAAAGTGGAGAAAGTTTCGTGTGACTTCATCGGGCTAGGACGAAATGCGTCAGACTAAAACATTTCTACTTTGTCATACACTTTTTCCCCAAAAAATGTTGTTGATATATAAAGATTTATACATCGTTATCACATATACGTATATATATATATATATATATATATATATATAGAGAGAGAGAGAGAGACAGACAGACAGACAGACAGACAGACAGATAGAAAAACAGACAGACAGACAGAGGGAGAGAGAGAGAGAGAGAGAGAGGTAGAGGTAGAGGAAGAATTAATACAAATCTAAAGTTTGTCACCTACCTGATTGGTATTACATTCACCCTCCCAGATCCAGAGTTTGGTAGATGAATTCTTTAGCAATCACTCCGTCCACTCCTCAGGGGGAAATCAGCAATAAATTCATATATATATATATATATATATATATATATATATATATATATATATATATATATATATTTTCAGTATACAACTCAACTTAATACTAGTACTTAAAAATAGCTTCCAAAGAGTTAATCCTATAAGCGGTAAAGAATAAATTAGTCAACCAATCAATATTGCAGTTCTTTTGACGAAATGCTTCTTTGCACTTCTACAGTTTTGCTTTGCCTTCATTGAAAGCATTCTCTCTATTCTTCCATTTGTCTAAGGAGAATGTAATGAGAACCTTTTATAGTGATTTAGTATTTGTACTGTGATTTATTCAGCCTAATTGTTGAAGACTCATCCAGTATTCCACACTTTAAAAAATTATCCACCTGAAGACGTTTTTTTGATGCGAAACTCTGGAGTCGGAAAATGAGAGACAATTGAATTCTTATTGATTCACTATATATATATATATATATATATATATATATATATATATATATATATATATATATAATCTTATAAATATAAGCAGCTATACTCGTCCGGCAAAACCTTAGGTGTTTTAGCTTGTAAATGAACAAACCAATATACAAGGAGAAAAAAAAGGGTAAAAAAAGAAAGAACTAAGAACATGTACTTCCGGCGAAAATAATCGTCTAGAATCTAAGCTCAGTGTCGAAAGAAAAAAACCTCCAGTCCACCCTGACGATCCGCGTAGGTGAAACCTAGGTAGGTTTGTCTGGCTCTTTAGGTTTACTATATATATATATATATATATATATTACAGTTTTCCCATTTGTGCTAGGATTTCTTCAATCGTGTTAGAACAACGCCTTTATCGCGGATATCTATTTATCCGAGTAAAATAACGAAAACATTTTCTAAACATTTCGTATTGGCGCTGTAACTTCTTCTACCCATTAAATAAACTCATGATGTTTATTTTTTTTATTTTATTTCACTCGATCACAATTTAGTGATCATTTTCCTTCCGTTTTTCTAATTTCTGATTCATTTTATTCGTAAGTAGATACGCTGGAATCCGATCTTTATTCAATTCGACCAGAATTTAACTAGACTTTTTATAGACTTTTACTATTTGTGTGTGTTTTTATTGGTCTTTCTATATTTATTTGTTTGCCGACATTCCTTTAATCTAATTGTTTTAATAATATTTTTCACAATATTTTTCACTTAATACAATGCCCGCGAGCCACACAATATAGAAAGTTAATGAGTGAGGCTTTTTAGGGATGTAAAAGGGGAGATAAAAAGTGCAGAATAGATAACGGTTAACGCTACACTTAAAGATATTAGATTGTAGAGATAAGGGAAGAATCCTCTTGGGAGTTGATTCCAGAAAGCAACGTCTCTTGGGAAGAATCTGTCCGAATTAAACTTCTTCCTGACCAATGTAAGTGAATGAGAATGATTCTCTGTGAGTGGCATGTGTGGTTTTTTAGCTGTAAATTCTGAAATGATTCAAAAAAAGAATCTAACTCATCTGAATAATTCCTATAGAGATATTTATAAGGTATTGATGAGCTTGCGACGTTTTGGGTGGAAAATAGTTCATCACCTGCCAAGAGGCTTTTGAACTTTGTCAAGGCTAGAATGTGAGGATTGAGCAGCTCCATCATAGATCTAACAGCATACACCCGCTTTTGGCCTCACCCGGCTCTTGTAAAAACAGAGCATAAAAGATGGAGTCAAGTGTTTTCTGGAGAGATACAAGGAACCAACCATTCTTTCAGCATTTTTTGCGATGTCACTAATATACGCGTTCGAGAGTGTGAAATATATTTTCTTTAGATTTCTACAAATATAAGCCCTCTAATCTCATCTTGTATTTTAACCAAGCTTTAATGACATCATTTCTGCTCATGATTTCTTTTAGTCAGTCATACGTGATGCAAGCTTGGGCGATCATGTCTTTTTCGATTCACGACTGAATATTTTCCCGGAGTAGTTTGCCATTTCTTTCTGTAATAGACTGATTGCCAACCAGTGATATAGGACTCAGTCTGTTCTGCTATTCAACCATTATAAGAACAGTCTGTCAGTTAAGTGCCATACGTGGTACACATTTGGGCGATCATGTCACTTTCGATTCATGACTGACTAGGCACAACATTTTCCTGCAGTACGTCGCTGCTTCTTTCTATGGTAGACTGGTTACTAACCAAGGCTTATAGGGCACAGTCTGTTCTGCTATTCTACCCATACCTGGGGGTAGCGAAAAATGAGTTCATACCATTCCCGACGTTATTTAGCGTAAGTGAATGTAACGAAACTGACTGGAATTCGAACTCGACTCTCCGATTAACTATTCCGAGACAATATTTTCTGTAAATCTCCTAATCTAGATCTTTATATTCGACATTTTTTATTTGCTTTTTTTTTATCAAATCCTTTTATTTTCGTATTTGTTACTATCACTTTTTGTATTCATCTTCTCTTGTCTTTTGAGTTTTCACTGCTTCTTCCAACCTCGTTATCATCATTGGGTTAATTATTACGCTGGAAACTTGACGGTTTGATGGCTAAAACTTGCACTTGTATAGACTTCGCCTTTTGTGAAATCATATAAAATTGTCCAGTAGCTCAACAATAAAGAGAAATTTATGTATTTTGTTAAAAAAAAAGCAAAATAAATCGAAAAATTTGCTGATCCTGAATTGGAAGAAATAGGTATCAAATTTTAAAAAATTACATCGGGAGAGAACTTGCCACCCCCCACCACACACACACACTTTGTAAAGAAAAAGAATAATGGGAGAGGTGGAAGGGAAGAGAGACTTATGTAGAGAGAGAGAGAGAGAGAGAGAGAGAGGAGCATGAGAGAGAGAGAGAGAGAGAGAGAGAGAGAGAGGAAGGATGTCGAAAAAGAAGATGATTTGAAAGATAGAAAATAAAGGAACTGCAAGCAATTATACTTATGTCTAGTAATGCACTTCGATGTGGTGTAAGGTTTAGCAAGTCTTTCTCGCTAGATCACTTACGACTAAATAGTGAGTTCGATCCTCACTGGGTACTCCAAACTTTCGGCCCTGTGCCACATTTAAGCTACGCTTAGAACATAACCATAATTCATGTAGTTCTCATATCTTCCGTAGATTTCTCTCTTTGCAGTGGACACATATTTTTCTGTCGGCTTGCACGGCGCCTCATCCGTTTGCAAATTCTGATACAAAGTCTTGTTGTCACTTGAAGTCTTTGGTTGAGACTTGGACGCAGTTTCTACGACACAAAGCAAAGTATTATCATTATTATTATTATTATTATTATTATTTCCTTTGATTTCTGGTGTATATTTATTTCTTTCCGGGTCCCGACCAGAGACCTAAGATAAAAAATGGCATCATGACATTTTACACTGAGCATTTTTTTTTAAAATCACACATATTTTACATAGATGAAGCCCTTCGTAAAGTGTGGTGTGTACTCGTGAGAATATTTTTTTTTATATTTCTTTAAGACATGGGCTACCAGGGATTCCTTCAATAAGTCTATTGGAATATTTTCGAATTAATCCGAGGGCTCCAACTACAACGGGGATTGTTGATGTTTATATGCGCCACAGTTTTTAGATTTCAATTTCAAGGTCCTTGTATTTTCATAGTTTTTTTTTTTTTTTTAAAGATCTTCAAAGATACATTGCAGTCTTCAGGGACTGCTATGTCAATAAGGAAAGCACATTTTGTTTTTGCGGTCTCTAATCACGATGTTTGGGCGATTAGCTTTGATTGTTCTATCTGTGTGTATTGTAAAATAAAATTGTTACAGGTCCTATATCTGTAACCGCGTCTATGTGCTATTATTATTATTATTATTATTATTATTATTATTATTATTATTGAGAGTACGAAGAAGTACCTGACAACTGTAAATAAAACGCAGATTTCTGTGGCGAGAAGAATTTAAAATCCTAAAAACAATAAGTAAAAGGAAAGCGAATTCAGATCAAGATAATATAATTCCACAAAGATGGAAAATGTAGCGAGGAAGTTATTCGAGACAATGAAGTATGAAGCATTGAAAACAAACGCAAATATTAATCAAGATTAGGGGGGAGTATGGAGAAGGCGGCGGCTATTATTCCACTGAATCTTATCATTTTTCAGGACGATGCCTGATAACGAAGAGGAAGAAAACCTATGCAGGCGCTGACAACTTAAAATAGAGGACCGAATAGCGTACACGTGAAAGAGCCAACCATTACCAAATGAAATAAAGAGGAAAATAAGAAAACTAGACAATACGTTCGTATATTAGAATCTCTTGCGAGTTTTCCGATCTTTTTTTTTCTTTTTTTTCTTTTTTCCGCTCCGAGGTGTCACCTGTGCTTAAGTTTCCTGCCGAATACGTAAACATGTTTATACTGGATGTGTCAGGCACAATCTGACTTCCTCTAACATCACATCGTCCATGTATCTGCTCAAGATCTTTCTACATTTATCATTACAGTCATTTTTTATCTTCTCGATTTTACTTCGAAAGATGATATTAAATGTACACGACAAAAAGGAAATAAAACGTATCATAAAACAAATTAAAATTCAAAAAATAAAACGGCCTATATATATATATATATATATATATATATATATATATATATATATATATATATATATATATATATATATAGAGAGAGAGAGAGATAAACATATATATATATATATATATATATATATATATATATATATATATATATATATGAATAAAGACAAAATAAAAAATTATCTTAGCCGACGCATTTTTGTCCTCTGATGGACTTCATTTGCAACAAATATTTATAAGCAAATGTAAAAATGTCGTCAGTTTACATAATTTTTTAAATTTAAGGACGCTCATAAATATACCCCCCCCATTCTAACTGAAAAATCAAGGTAAATTAGGACGGACGATAATTTACTGTCAAATAAATAAAAGTGGCCGAGTGGTTAGAATGTTCGCATTCTGTTTATAAGATCCGGGTTCGAATCTCACCATTGCCAATTTGTCAGGAAGGAAACTTTCAGATGTTATGGGACTGGAGCTGTCGACCCCAGCGTGCGGCACGTTTGGAAAACCATACCATGGGTTGACCCATCCTTGTGAGTGAAATTGGGTAGACGAAACCTTTGGGAGTCGTCGATAGCTGTGCTAGCACGAAGTCACCAATCCTCGTGTTTGAGTGTGCTGACATTGTTCAAATTGTTGATCGCGCTAAATAACACGCTCTTTTCCAGAAGCTGTAACTAAGGTCTGCTCAGCATAGTTGCACTATAAACGACAGGCGGGCTCTGTGGGTGTTGAATAAACACAAATGAGCCTGCAATAGGAATTGGAAAGCCGAACAGATTTAAAAATAATCCAAAATTCGCTTGTAGATGAAACAGAACTAATGCTTTTAATTTAATTATATAATTAAATTTGAAATTTTTAGCTTCGGTTTTTGGAACTTGGTAATTCATGTGTAGCGAAAAAACCATATTTTTAAATCAGTTAATTTATAATATTTATGCTCTGTAAATTTACATTGAGCACTGTTTTGTAAAAATAAAAATATTAATAAGAACACCAGATCATATATCTTCTTACCGTTCTTTCTTTTTTACTATATATATATATATATATATATATATATATATATATATATATATATATATATATATATATATGAGTTGGGATCAAATGTAATTCAAATAAGAATCCGACAGAATAATAAGATAATAAAAAAAACAAGAAAATGTTTATAATTCTAATGTTTTATTAAAGCTTCATCAGAGAATGAGATATGGAAATAATTTTCTGGTATTTTTAATTTTGTCTTGTTTAATTTTTATTGGTTAAGCAGACTTCACGCGCATTTGATTTTTCAAGAAGCGTTAGTGTGTATAATTTATGTGTGTAAGTGTACCATGTTTCTCGCTTTCTACGCGGTATTCAGATAATATTGTACAGATGTATGTGTGTCTGTCTAGTAGGTAATATTTATATTCGGAGGTTGCCTTCATGTTAATTTATGGACGTTTTTTATGCCAACACCAGTAGTGGAAGTTAAATATGCGTTAGATTCTTGAAGAATGTATGTAATAAAGGTTGGTCATGTAATAAACTGTTTTTGATGCGTGTTTAGAGTTGGTAAAATATTTACCACGACTCCCTCGAAGTATTTCCGACTTAATTTGGTTTTTCTTTTAACTAGTCTGGCATTTATAAAATCAAATTTATGACCAGTTTTGTTCCTGTGTATTACGAGCGAGTTTAAATGCTTGTTCCAAAATGGGTCTCTCTTGTGTTCACAGATGCGGGTTTTTAGACTTCGAGACGTCACTCCAATATAAGTGTATCTACATTGCAAGTATTTTATTTGATAAACCCCGCCATCTGAAGTAGCGTTGGGTATATTTTTCTTCATAATTATATATCTTATTTCTTGGAGGTGATGGTAAAGACCTTACATTTAGGGATAAGTAATTTATTTTCATTTTTTTTTTTTATTGATAGATACATTCAAGCCGGTAAATGTTGTTTAATACTGTTTATTATCAACAGAGCATTTACTTAAATATTTGTATCTATAAAAAGAATATATAAACATAAAAATGTCTTAAAATAACTGTCGGAATTTATCCATTTCATAATGTGGCTAATGACGTTTCCGTATAGGAGACAGGTTCGAATCCTCTCAGAAGACGAATATTTTGTGCGAAAATTTCTCGGATATTCAGACCGGTAAATGTTGTTTAATAGTGTTTATTTTAAACAGAGCATTTACTTAAATAGTTTTATCTATAAAAAGAATGTATAAACATAAAAATTTCTTAAAATAATATAATATATATATATATATATATATATATATATATATGTGTGTGTGTGTGTGTGTGTTTGTGTGTGTGTTTTTATATAATACATATAATAATATATATATGTTTATATAATGCTGTATGACGTATCGGTACAAAACTATAACATATAAGTGTGTTTATATATATATATATATATATATATATAGATAGATAGATAGATGATATATACATACGTATGTTTATATAATACATATAATATCATATATATATATATATATATATATATATATATATGTTTATATAATACATATAATATATATATAGGTTTTATATAATAAATATAATATATATATATATATATATATATATATATATATATATATAATATATATATATCTATAATATGTTCATATAATACGTATAACATAATATATATATAATATATGTTTATATAATACATATAATATAATATATATATATATATATGTTAATATAATATATATATATATGTTTATATAATTTTGTGCATGACGATCGATACAAAACTATAATATATATAATATATATATATATAATGGACAATATACAATTATTTTAAGACATTTTTATGTTTATACATTCTTTTTATAGATACAAATATTTAAGTAAACGCTCTGTTTATAATAAACAGTATTAAACAACAATTTACCGGCCTGAATGTCCGAGAAATTTTCATAGAAAATATTCATCCTCTGATAGAATTCGAACCTACATCCTATACGGAACCGTCATATAGCCTGACGTGCCTTTAACCGATTGGGCCACAGAGGAACGCTCGGTTACAAGGTCGAATTTACTGTATTTAAACTTCAATCTCCCATGAATTTCTCACGTATATATATAGGATACAGGTTCGAATCCTGTCGAAGGACGAATATTTTGTGTGAAAATTTCTCGGACATTCAGGCCGGTAAATGTTGTTTAATACTGTTTGTTATAAACAGAGCATTTATAAATATTTCTATCTATAAAAAGAATGTATAAACATAAAAATGTCTTTAAATAATTGTCGGACTTTGTTCATTTCATAATGTGTGACGTCATTTGTTTATCTTTGATACGCCATGAGCAGATATGAATGGACGTGAATGTACTATGAAATAGAAGTAAGGCATGTAGCAACATCAGCACGGCAAAGGGCACTCCTTTAAAGGCAAGGAAGGGCAAAAATATTTAAAGTCAAGTGATAGCGATTGCTGTATGAGTCGTACGATTTTTGAATCAAGCACGGGCAACGCCGGGCCATGCTGCTAATATATATATATATATATATATATATATATATATATATATATATATATATATATATATATATATATATATATATATTTTTTGTATGACGTGTCGGTAGAAAACACTTTATGAGAACAAAGCATATTTGTCATTCCTTTTCGTTTTAACCATTCCGTTCCGTATGTGGAATAAGGTGTTTATTATATTATGGATATAATTATGCCAATATTGGGAGAGAATCCAAACTGGGATAATAAACCATCTTCCATAGCTCCCCAATTTTCTGTCCCCAACGTGACATGATATTATTTACCCTCCATTGCCATCTAACACGGAATCATGGATGACATTCAAATTATCTATCGTCTCTAACTGCCGAAATAAGTTCAATGTTTATTCGGGTACAAAAAGAGTCCATAAAAGCATAAAAATCCATTTTTCCCGCCACATCAGATATGAACAACCGACAAGTCGCGCGCTAACGTCGATAAAACTCACCGTTGCCATCTGAGTATGTTTAACTAGTGAGGAAACATGTGGCTAACGATTTCACCAATGAAACAAGTCGTCCGATTAGAAATATTCACATAAAAGAACTTAAGGTCACGCAGCTGAGTGGCCGCCTTGCCTTTATTCTTCTAACCATCCACGATTATATTTATCATTTCTTTTTAGTTTCCTTTTTAGCTGGCAATTTTGAGGAAAAAGTATATATATTCAAAAAAATAGCATTAGCATTGCGTTTATTTTGCAAGTCGAGAGGACTTTTGCCCGTCTGGCAGCTTTTATTCTAAGTCATGATATTCTGATTTCGAATAGGGAGTGTGGGAGGCGAATACTGTACATTCTCAGTCACCAAATCAATCTTCAGATACTTAAATAGATATGTTTATATATATATATATATATATATATATATATATAAAAGACATTTTTATGTTTAACATTTTTATTTATAGATACAAGTATTTAAGTAAATGCTCTGTTTATAATAAACAGTATTAAATAACATTTACCGGCCTGAATGTCGAAAATTTTCATAGAAAATATTCGTCCTTTGACCAGGAACCTGCATCCTATACGGAACCGTCAATTACGCTGACGTGCCTTTACCGACTCGGCCACAAAGGAGCGTTCGGTAGGCAAGGTC